TAACTAAGTTAGATCTAGTAATAATAATTTGGATAAGATCATAATAATCTGTATAAAAAAAACACTTACATGCTGGCAAATGATTCATCAGTGATCTAGTAGACCTAGTCCGCCTAGCCTGCTAGTAAAGTTGCATTGTAAACACGCGTACTTGTAAGTTGTAACGTTATTATTAGGCCTGTACATACGATTGTTAACAACCGGTTCGTGGAGGTCATTAAATTCTAAGAACAGGTTCGCACGAACCGGTGCGAACCAGCTGAATCCCACCACTGCATACAAAAAAATTAATATTGTATTTTATATCTTGAGAAACCCTTGAAGTTTTACATTCTAAAGACTGAAGCAAAGATTAAGTTAAATGTTAATAATTCATAAAATGTGGACTAATTAATGATTTAGTTAATTAAGCTTATGTAATGTTCTTATATTTTATTATTTAATGATTTTACCATATTTCATAATTCTTTTATCGTTAAACACAAACAGGAATAAGATTTTAAAATATACATATAACTGCTGTAATATTTCTATAGAACAATGGTTCTCAAACTTTGTCATAGTAAATCTCTAAGCTAAAATAAATAAAAAAACAATTGCACTTGTACTGTTCACTATTCACAGTTTGTGTTTATTCAATATTATTTTTCATCCCCACAATTTTAATGACTGTTCTCCCACAACTTAACCATATTATTTTTTTGTTATTTAGGTGAAATAAACAGTCAGTTAGTTTTATGAATTAAACGTTGTTATTGAAACTTGTAATAGTTCCATATAAATAAAAGCATGAAATAAAACCCCTTTCATTTGCAGTCAGATAACAGGCAAGGTTTGACTTAGACACTGACTATCCTGATACTAAGTTTTCTAGCCTTGAATGCAATGTGGTGCAATTCATTTGTTAGTGATATTTTAGGCAAGGTAGCCAAGTTAAATATATATAAAGTTTGATGGTCTCAATGTACTTTCTTCAAGAGATTACAAGATGATGATGATGTGAGAATTTCTAATAAATGAAATTTGGCCTAGCTCTGTTTTCAAGGTGATATTGACCCTTCAGTTCTTCTCAAAATGAGATATAGCATTTTGTGACTTAGCTTACAATTTATTAAGATGTCATATAAGTTTAATAAAACATTGTGTGAAAACATTAATAACAATATAATTCTGATATGAAAGCTCCTCCAGTATTTAACATTTTGCATCATAGGATATTAGAATTTTGACATTATAAAACTGAATTAAACAATTGTAAAAAGTCAAAATCACCTGAGGAAATTAACCCTTTGTTCTTTGAATTCAGAGAAAAAATATATCTCGGTGAAATAAAATATTTACACCTTACAAAAAGGTATTTTCAATCTGATTTGTTTTCAGTATTGCAAAACTTGTTCACCATGAAAATTTTATCTGTATCAGCCACCATAAATCAAGTTTAACTCATTGAAACACTTAGTTCTGTATAACTTAAGAAGTTATTCAAACCACACAGAAACACTTAGTTCTGTATAACTTAAGAAGTTATTCAAACCACACAGAAACACGTAGTTCTGTATAACTTAAAAAGTTATTCTTGCCACATTGAAACACTTCTATATAACTTATTAAAACAGTTAAAATTCACATACCTGCATGTGCCCTTCAAACTATGAGGCTATTTGTAGAGGTTTAATTATAAATGATTGGTAATTAATATGGTTAAATATTGAGTATAAAAAGTTAATTTTCATAGCTGATGTAAATTTTATTCACATAAACTGCATAACACAGCTTTTTCTGATTTCTAGGTCTGAAGCTTTTTCTTTTGTATATTATGATAAAACGTTTAGAAAGAATTAGAATTATATGAATGTTAATAACAAGAGGAGCTCCAGTGTGGGAAATGTAATTTAAATGCTTTGTTGGAAAGCCACAATATCAGTTTAACATAATCAGTTGAAATTCGGTGACGAGGAACCCACTTTGAGACTAATAATGGCTGGAGACGGCTTGAATGGGTAATGAAGAAAAACTTTAATATAAGTTTAACAGTTCCGGTCATGTGACTTCTTTGTTCAATACTGTGTATATATATATCCGTGTCAGTGTAAATTACTTGTACCTGATGATGACAAAACCTTGTCGAAACGTTATACATTTGCTGTTATGTTAAACTTATATTAAAGTTTTTCTTCTTTACCCATTCAAGCCGTCTCCAGTCATTAATAATCAGTTGAAATCTAATCAAACTTGATTTAATCTCAATGTGAGCGTTAGTAAACGAGATTATTGTATTTAAATGCTTCATTTGTCCAAAACAACATCATTTCAGTCAGTCCATCTGATAATTAAAAGAAATAGGTGAATATGATGTAACTAAACCAATAAGAATTAATATAGTCTCAATGAAAGCATCGAGGTAGCAAAATACATTTACGATACTGTTTCATAGTAGCATATATAATCACCTAATTTTAATTAATTAGTAACCGTTTTTATAACGAGACATAGAAATTTGCAATTTTACCATCAGAAATAAGCTACCCCCCTGCGGCACAGAGGTATGTCTGTGGACTTACAATGCTAGAAACAGGGTTTCGATACCCGTGATGGGCAGAGCACAGATAGCTCTTTGTTTACCTTTGTGCTTAACTACAAACAAAGAAATAAGCTCATTGAACTAGAACATATTAAGACGTTGCAAGTAAAATATTATCAAGCTTCGGAATTTTCTTAAATGTTATAATTAATGTGGGGTAGGTGTATAGTCTTTGAATATCAGTCAGCTACCTAAATGTTTCGTATGACTATTGCAAAACTGAATATATACATATATATATGAATTTCTATTTTAATAAATATTTCCTTTATTAACCTTTCAGCCCTTCAGTGGCTCAACAGAAAGTCTGAAAGCTTTTCACACTCAAAATTGGTTTTCGATACTCTCAGTGAACAGAGCACAGATAGCCCATTGTGCACCTTTGTGCTTAACACCAAACCAAATACACTAACTAATCAACCTCCCATTTGCTACAAGTTAAGTCAATTTCTGGATGTTTCTACGATTATTATCATTATTAGAGTGGGTTTGTTTTTTAATGTAACTTCCAGTTCTAGTGCGTACCTTCATCCTAGTGTGGCTGTACAAACACCATTTTCAATGATAAAGCGTGACATCTCCATGTGGCAATCTCATTGTAAATGTAGGAAATTTTGTGTATATGTTAATTTGCATATGCTGAGTGTGGGCCTAGCCTTTCACTTACGGTTAAGTGACCAAATATGTTGTCTAATGTGTTGTCTATTAGAGTAGCCTATTCATATTTTGTAAGCGCCAGCACATTAGAGTAAAAAAAAAAAAAAGTACTGAATTCGTGTTCTAAAGATGATGCTTTCGATGTACATTTCATAGTCATCCGAACACTTGATATAAAGTTGTGAAACTCCATAGGCTTTCACGTAAAAGCGAGATATCTTCATTGGGTATTCCTGAAAACAGAGGAGATGCGAACAAAAACCAAAACAAGTATAATAGTAGCACTTAAGTCGTTACAGACTGTCTTTCTGTGAACTAAAACCAGAATATTTAATGAATGTTTCTTATCAGTAACTTGTCACGTTTTCATGAAAATATAAAGGTGTTATGAAAATTTTATACGACGGTTTCTATTGTGAGTATTGGAATATGTTTCTTTGAGAAAGACACGAGATGCTAGTGGGAGATCGTGTTCTCAGATGTCAATGGTTAATGGGAAGATCAAGTAGACCTTATTGGTCTAACCAAGAGTTTATCATTAATTTCTACTCAGCCGATGCATCAAAATACACTGTGAACATCTGTGGTCATCGCCACTCGAATCCATGAGATAGAAAGGTCAAGAACTGCTGTTTTTGGCACTTAACGTGTTCTCACCAAGAGAGAGAGAACATCTACAGGCCTATCTGGCTTCGATCATTTCGCACGTTCCCAGCCAATATGGGTTCACCGAACTCTGTGTTCATTTGTTAGATTTTCCTGTATATTCAATATTTAATGTACTTTTTGCAAATATGTTACATTAATTAAGAGAAATATTAGTCCTCAAATGGTTACGTTTATAGCGTAAACAATTTAGTATACTACAAACAGATTTAATGAAAAGATTATATTATCAGTTAACTTTATCTGACATATATAAAGTTGAGTGGAATTGTAAAACGGAGAATTTTGTGTTTTTCATGGCAACGTAACACTTCTTGCCTATTTGCAATGATTTGAATACAAGTTGTTTAGTTTTATCGTACAGCTTGTGTGCATTTGAAAGTTAATGAATTTGTTAGCCAGCGATCACAAACGTTGGTATATATATATATACCTTATAGTGTTATTGAATATATATATATATATTCGTAGTTTGAGAATAATATAGAGTGTTTTGGTTAAACATCCTCGTGTAGTTCTGTGTCAAAGCGTATTAATTAATCCATATACTTTATTATTATCCAGCCATCATGTTTAGAGTTATTATTTATGAATATTTTACTTTCAAAAATAGAACGCTTTCCCATATTTCTCTATAGGTTAATTGAATAGTTTCGTCATGGAGTTTCTTTTTTAAAAAAACACGTATTTTTCTGTCCAAGTACTACAGCATCTGTTTGCTAAATGAATTCTGCTGGAATTGTCGATCATTTAGGAAATATTTCAATTTTCACATTATTTGTTTCGTTGTAATACGGTTATTCAGTTTATATATATATATATATATATATATAACGTTTTATACAGCAATCATTGAACACCGCCTATTCAAACACTAGTATGTGGAACGTTATAAAGGCAGCATATTTACATGACAACTACGTTATTCTTTTATTGAAACTAAAGTACTTGCCATGGACGCTATAGATTTGACTAAATAGCACTAAACACCCATTCATGTTTAGAAATCTTGTTACGCGAGTTGACTAACCTACAATTTGTTTAATACCTCTGTTTCTTTACTAAGAAGCACATCTTAACACATTTCCTATTTCATATATATATATATATAACCAAATCATTTTTTACTTATCCTAAAAAATGTTACTATCCCCTTTTTTTATCTCTAACAAGGTAATTTTTGTTTAACCTTACAGTGGAATTTCTAATGATATTTCTCTTATAAACAGCGTCTCTCTTATTTTACTTGTTAGTGTCCTAATCTTTTTTCGCTTCACTTTACCGTAAGCAGTTTTTCAGACAGCAATTTTAACTTCTTTACATCCATTGATCACAACTTATTCAACAACTACCCAAACAGTATGTTACATTTCTTTTTCAACAACTACTCAAACAATATGCTCTCTTCGTTATTCAACAACAACCCTGTGTTCTAATCCTTATTCAACAGTTACTCAAACAATATGCTCTCTTTATTATTCAACAACTATCCAAATAGAATTTTCTTTCCCTTATTCAACAACTACCCAAACAGTGTGTTCTCTTCCTTAGTCAACAACTAACCAAACAGTATTCAACAACATATAAAACAATATTTTCTTTTCTTATACAACAATTTTCCAAACACTATTTTCTCTTCTTGTTGAACAACTTCCTAAACGGCACTTTCTTTCACCCATTCAAAAACTTACCATACATTCTTTCCTTTCGTATTCAATAACTTTCCAAGTATTTTCTCCATATTTGAGCAGCTTTTCAAAGAGTATTTCAACTGATGCATACTTCTCATTTTGAAAATATGTTTTTATTCTATCAGGTGGTATTGTTTCACACATACTACTTCAATAACTTTATTATATTTCCATATATTATTCCTATCTGCTGACCCTTCAAATAATAGTTCTTTAACTATTAATCTACTGTTCAGCTTTATTTTTCTCTGTTATCTTTCTAGCTAGTCGAAATATGTTTTTAACGTATTTGTTTTATTTTAGTTATAAAAAGATATTTTTCTAGGCTAATTATAGCACCAAATTTTAGAGGTATGATAGCTTCAGATCTCCCTTCCCGTTTATATATCTTACATATTTGTAATAACAGTATCTATTAAAGTGAGCAGAAAAAAGCCGAACGCATGAGTTATTTTCAGCTATATATATCTGCAATATTATTCCAAACTAAAAAGTATCTTACCTTACAATGCCATGGAGATCAGTTTCGCAACGTTAGATTCTAGAATGATACTTTATGTCGAAAAGAAGACTGGTGTAATATCAGCATTTGAAATGTCGCTGTATTTTTCTATATATTTCTGGAAATGACTTCGATGTGATAGGAAGTTACGTAATTATATTGGTGTGAATATTTCTTGAAATGGTAGTTTTTTATTTAATTGTTCATGTCAAGGCGACATCTTATTAATTTAGAAAAAAAAATAACCTAAGCGTTTGTCAATAATATCTTAAAAAAAACTGGTGCCCTTTATTATTTGTGAGAAACCAATAATTTGAGAAATGTTTTGTGATGTTATACATAAATATAGCATATACCCATATAGGATAATTATTTTAAAATAGAACTTATACACAGATATTAGACTTTGAACTTCTGTGAATTTCATTTGGTATCATCGTCCATTAAAATCAATGTTAAGATTATGGTCTTAAACAAAGGCTATTAGTTGATTTGCCTCGTAACAGCTCTTTTTTTTTTTGTCTGTTACTTTGACAGTTTGTATTAATATAGTTGGATTTCCTTATCATTTTCGAACTGTTTTTTTTAGATTGCCACAATTAGTTACTCTTTTAGTCACTTTTATTGTGTAAGGAATTTTTATCAACTTTATTAGAGACTAGAGGAGTATTAGCAGGTAACATGAGTATGTAACTGGTAAGTAAGGTGGCTGCTTATGAGTAAAAAAGAAGAAGAAAAATACACTAAAGGTATTATTATGTCAAAGAAAACTTATTGGTAAATAACATGACCAGTAAGAACATAAATAGGTCATTAGTAAGTAAAATGAACATGTGCTACAGTTGTCAAACCTTAGTTCAAGTTAATATCTACCAGTAGAATTTCTTTCTGTGCCGATCATTCTTTGTTTACTGTATGTTTTGCTTCTGCAACAACAACAATAATTTCGTTACTTTTTTGATTACTTCTCTTAATGTAAAACAGGTATGAATTGTTATTTTTAATGTGATTTAAATGTTTAGATTTATTTAGAAACATAAGACTAATTTCATTCCTGCATATGTAAAAGCTGCAGTAATACCCTAGATTTGGCCAAAAGTTCGGCCCTATAGGTAGAGTCACAGCAGAGTTACTCCATTCATCTTACTTGGCTGGAGTCAATGCTGCGTCTCTAGATTACTTCCTAGTACACTCTTCAGGCTATTAACTAAGCTAGCATATTTTTATGAACATTTTGTTTATAATCTTAATGTTGAATTGTTCTCCACAGTCACTAGGTTAAAACTGATGACTTAACGGTCTAAGACTATAAGTAACACTTGCATAAAAAATGAGTATAATGATCAGTTTGCTGGTAAATACTGTTAGATGTCTCTAGTAAATAAACACATTTACTTACTGTGATAAAACTAGTAGCTTACAGTGAGCGAACATCGATTATTCGAATATAAAACGTGAATATTTTAATAAGTAAAAGTAAAATGTATTGAACAAAGTAGCCTACTAGTAAGAAATGCTTACAAAGCCTAAATCTCTCATATTATCTATCATATATTAAAATCAATGAATCATTAATAAAACGTATGACAGTTGACTTTGTTAAAAAGTACCTTTCATCTGATTAACCCGAGTTGCTTGTGAGTAAGATTCGTGAATAGTTGACAAGTTAATATTGTTGTTTTATGAGTGTGTCCATGTGTGTGTGTGTGAAAAGAGACACTGCAAGATATCGTTTCCCTGTAAAACCTAAAACATTTTCTTTCGCTAGAAATTATTCACATTTTCCATTACTATATCCTGAACACAGTGGCTAGCTGTTCTCACTGTAATACTTCAGAGTATACCACTTACAAACTACAGCGAGGTATCGTTGGCCACAAACAATTGTAAGGGAAAGTTAATGGCATACCAAGAGAACATTCAATAAAATATGTGATTTCACTGACACCTACAGGCATTCAAGAAGCTTCAATAAAGTTTTCGTCGATAAAGATTGTATTTCTATAGTGAAATGCAGAGGCTTTATGACCAATAGTATGGTATTATAAACCCTTCAGTATGTTGTTGTTGTTGCAGAGGCAAAACATATAGTAAACAAAGGATTATCAGCTCATCACGTTTTCTTTTGTTTGTTTTTTCTGGACGAGTTGTCTCTGCCCATCTGTCAATTAAAATCGTATTTTGTTATGAGGTGATATTTGATACATTTCACGTTTCACATATGACGTTAACGTGTTTTCTTTTTTTAATTCTCGTTCACCACTATAACAAATAGTTGGTGTAGTTTAGGCCAGGCCACAATGGCTGCTAGTTCCCATAGTCCGGTCCCTGCTCTAATAACTAGGTTTATAACAAATAGTTGGTGTAGTTTAGGCCAGGCCACAATGGCTGCTAGTTCCCATAGTCCGGTCCCTGCTCTAATAACTAGGTTTTTCTTGTGGAAAAATACAAGTAAGTGTCCTGTTTTGTATTCATACCTGAAGGTGTCACTTTTTTGTCAAGTCCACAGACTCGGAGAGAACAGTATTTTTTGGTGAACCAAACCTGCGTGGTTGGTGAATGTCACGAGGGTATAATGATTTGTGTGTGTGTGTGTTATCTCGAGTACCGTCCATACATACATCCATTCGTGCAGTTTACAGAAAAACTGAATTATGTAATATTAGTTACAGTCGTCAGGGACGCAGGGGTTTATGGAAATCTTCTAACATTTCAGTGTAATATGGCCATAACATAATTCTATAGCTGTGATAACTCTTAAAAGAGCTTAATATAGGAAAACTCGACATATCGGATTGCGCATGTCAACAAAGTGCCTGCCTTCATCCTTTTTCATTCCACTTTCATGGTTCTTCCAGCTTGTGCACAGGGTCTAAAAACAGTCCATTACTCAGATCTTCACTATATACCTGTAAGCCTCTGCCTATCGCCATTATGACTGTTTAAGTTGAAGGACATTGTTTCTAATGAATGGTGTGTGGAAGCAGGGATCTTGCAGTGTCTCCACTCATAGGTATATTTATTTTAATTCACACTTTGATAAACTCTCGTTTTTGATGTATTACTCCAGTTTGGTTCTTGTACACTTATCCCTGTGAATAAGTTTGCCAAATAAAATGTTTAAAATTAACTCGAATATATTTTGTGTGATCTTTATAACATGTATTTTTTTCTCTTGTCATTATTTGATGTATGTTTATTAAAATGTAGAAATTAAAAAAAACCTTTAATAAAAAAAAAGAACAAAATACTGTATGATCCTATTTGCTTAGGACTTATCAATAAGTTTTTAAGCATCGTATTTTGGTTCCATGGGGTATGTTTTGGCTTATCAGATTTTTTTCTAGGCAAGGTTCCTATGCTTTCAAGGTGGTTGCCTCTGCCCATCTGTCAATTAAAATCGTATTTTAGTTAGTCCTATGGACTATCTCGGGATTCATCAGGTTGTCTCTGAGCGAGTTACCTTTGATCTCAAGATGGTTGTCTCTGTTCACTTCAGTAAAAATTTTGTTTTGGTCCTATAGGGTATTTCTGGGCTCATCATTTGTTTCTGGGCAATTAACTTCTGGTCTCGAGGTAATCGATTTTTTCTAATATTATTACAACTATAATATTTTAACCGAATACTCCTAAGTGATGCATGATATAGTATTTTAACAGAAAAGCTCCTAACCGTTGCATGACACAACTTTTCAAATCTAAAAACAGCAACCAAAGCACGCTATAGTAATTTCAAAGGAACAGCCCACACCGATACGCACGTTTCCTTAATATTCTGTTTATTTCTCACATATTTATTTGGGGAAATCACGTTTTTATTCTACGACCTTTTGCGTTTCAAACAGCAACAAATAAAAGTTTATTAAATGTCGAATTTTCATCTCTACTTGTAACCGTTAACATTTTAAATCATTCCGACTCAATTGAAAAAAGAAAAGAGAGAGAGGAAGATAAAACGTACTATTCGCTGAAGAATGTCTAACTGGCCAATCATTCTTACATAAATATCTGTTTGAAATGGAGTTAGCATTATTGATATGAGTTAATGAATAACCACTGCTAAACACGTTTCGAAGCATTCTAATATTTATGATTTCCAATTATAGAAAAAGCCTTCCCATTTCGGAGCGCATTAATTTCTATGATTCTTAACGTTCACACAATAACCTATATAATCTTGTCATGATATTACTACTATCGCTGAATATCGTTCAAACTTAAGCAATATAGTAATGAAGAATCTAAGCCACTAGTGAAAAAACAAAAACAACAGATGCACACTGTTCTAGACAACCTAAGCTTGTGTGGTCACATAACGTTAAGCAATGCTTTATTAAGTGTTTTAGCTAAGTTATAAAATTAATAGATTTAATCCATATTTAGCACGCGGAAAAACTTTTAAAATCAGCTTCATTTTTGACAGGTTTAATAAAATTAAGCGTAAAAAATCTTAGTAAAATTACTAGATGTTAAAAACAGAAACTTGAAAAGAGGAAATAAAAATGTCACTGGTGTTGATCAAATCAGAACTATCTAGGATTTTCCAAAATATCATTCTCCAGAATTCGAACCAGACAAGTAAGAAAACATAACGTAAACGTTATCTTAGCCTCAAAGGCCAAAAATAAAATAAAATAAAGCGGACAGAGAGTAAACAGAAGCCTAGGGGAAAATGAAGTGAATATTTTTGTTATCCTACCTTTCAGATCAAGAACTCGAAAACCTTTCAATGCTTATAAACAGAGATACACAAAATATGTATGCGAATCTTCTTTCGTACTCTTATGTATATTGCGAGCCTATATATACATGATCAAAATACTGCCGGCATGTGCAATTATATAGATTAACTTACTTATTAATAAATGTTGAAAATGAGCATTCAAGAACTATTTTACACTTAATAGCCCTTCCAGTTGTTGTTTTTGTAAGCATTAGTGACTTTTATATATTTCTACTTCGTTGAAAATTGTATTTTAATTTAAAAAACTACTACGCTCTACGTCTACCTCTCTTGTATGATGGTAGTGATTCTGAACGATTCATCTCATTGATTTCATTATCCACACAAATCTGAACTCGAGAGTGATCACAACATTAAAGAAAGCGCAAATAGAAAATGTCTTGCTGTAATGTCAAGAAGTTATATCAAAAGACACTGAATAATATTTGCAAAATAAAACAAAAACTGAGTTTTACTTAAAGATAATATATAAGTTCACAAATCACATGACTCCATAATCATTGGTAAAATGATAACGGGTATGAGCAAAAAATAAGAAATTAAAGAGTACATATGCTATGATTTATCTGAAAAACAAAATGTCAACCATTCTTCAACTCGTGTAGATATTAAATTAATCCTATTTTGAAAATAATATTTTTTAATGTTACTTATATTAATTATTTTCATACATAGACTCACCCAGTCTAACTCTTTGATATGTATGAATAACCAATTTAAGTAATGAATATGTATTTTACAAAAAAAAAGGTTTAGATATTAATCTATATCAGCAATATATTAAATGTAACTTTTTCTGCGAAGAAATATTCCATGCGAAAATTAAAAAAATATTTTTCTATGCGTAAATAATTCATTCCAAGTTATTTGTTTCGGAAAAACCTTCACATTTTACAGCCTCTGGTCTTTCTCCTTTTCAACATTCCACCATTGGCATAGGTTTGCGTAAAGTATTGTAACGTCTCTGTATTCGTTTGTTAATTTTCCGTAGAAATTCTTTCCGAAAAACTTCAGCAATACAAGTCCTTCCTTAAATAAAACTAGTTTATTCTTTCTCAATACAACTTTGCAATACACTTAATTCCCACAGTCAGTTTAACTTAAACAGACGCTATAATTCACAACGAACGATTCACGCGCTTGACTCAATTGTCCGTTTCTACCTCTGTCTGCAATTCAATTCCATTGTTGCCGTCACTTCTTGGCGGTCTTATATATTATAAAAGCGTACATCTCGTCTGTTCGTGAATCTTCTAGAAACTCATCACGTGTTACCAGGTTCACGTGACTTCCGTTGTCGTAACAGTATTTTATTCAAGGTGGAAACTCTAGTAACATTTTAAAAAATATTTTTGCCACTACTAATATAGCAAAAAAACAAACAAAAAAAAACCAACAACAACTAAGATTATGCTATAAACTCTTGAGTGGTTCAGAAAATAACCGATTGCAGTTCGGGGACGTACTATATGTTTTCAACCACTTTAGCTATAAAGTAAGATTTTAAAAAATATATTGTTTTTATAGTTTCCCTCTCTGGCGCTATGGAACGTTTAAATTACAGTGTTGTAGGTCACGAGACCACCTTTCGGAGGGCCTCATTCTCAATGTTTTTCAGGTTTCGAAAACGAGATCGACTAAATTTAAATGTTTAAACAGCATTAGATCAGTCACCAACCCAGCTAAATATCGATTACACAACAGTTTATACGATGTTTTACTAGTAAAACCCCCTTGGTACTACACCTTTGTGATGATGTTTGTAACACCTCTGTTATTATTCGTTACGTCACCAACCACCATATTGCCTGTACGCCATCCACGGTTGTAACACGCATTATTCAAAACTAACAGCTACTTTACATTGCATTACGCTAGGCTTAATACAAGTTTGTAAGAACTTCATCTGGTGCATTGTATTTACGTCAAACGTTAGCGAACATCACTGATATTCACCATGTCTAGTAGAACTGCTGTGATGCTGTTTGGTTTCAAAGAAAAAAGATAGTTTGTTGATTCCAATACTGGTTTTAGCTTTATTTGCCTGACCTTCTTGATTTTTCTATTATGGTTTTTACATTTTTTTTTTTCATAGGAGGAGATATTAAAAAAAAGACTATGGGGATAAAGTGTAAAACTGAGTAGAATTTATTTTTAACTCCTTTTCTTCCTTTTTTTTACGATGAATACCTTTAAAAATACTTATCAAGAAATTGATCTTCCTATCTCTTTACAAATTAGAAGACATACTGAAAGATTAATTTACCCAACTATTTAAACATTGTTTAAATAAAATGTATTGTATAATGCTACAGCTAATTTAAATTTAGCTTAAAAACTTCGAATTTCCTGATATTTTTTGCAATTTAAGTGACATTAATTTCCTAACCACAAGGTTCTTCACTTATTTTCTTTATTTCAAATTAAGTCATGTTAGCATTTTTACGACAGCGGAAGTCGTGTGACGCTGGGAGCATGCTCGCTGGAGTTTGTAGAATTATCGGGAACCCTGCGAATGTCCAAGTGTTTGCTAGACGCCCTCTTTTTTTTAGTATATAAGCCTGGCGAGAAAAACCAGCACATTTTGCAGAGATAGATAGAGTGAAAAGATAGATAATTGAGTCAAGCGAACAGTT